GTAATTGTTTAAACATCAAAGCCAAGATTGCGAGGAAAATTATGCAGAAAATCCGCGAACTGAAATTATAATAAGTTATGATTTAAACGTAAAATTATCAGCATAAAGAACTGATTTCGTGGATAATATGTTTTTTTTTTATAAATTAATAAGATTATTTAATTGAATTCTTTTGTTTTATTTGTGTACAAACCATACATTTTAACACTAGGTAATTATGATTTTCTTAATTTATATTCGTACCTTCTTGTTTTTTATTATTTCTAGAAATTACATAGGTCAATTGAACCTCATTTCATATTTCATCCACGTTTGAAAAAAAATTCCGATAAGTACCTTCCAACGAGATTTCGGTCTCTGGGCCTAGTAAGAGTACTAAATTCGTCCAAATTAGATTACCAGCCGATAGTTTGTCGAAATCTGTTCCAATCAGATTACATGAGCTTCCATAATTTATAAGGCGGAATTCCAAATTATAGATACAGTTATGTCGTGTAGTATTGTGTTTATGCGAACACAAACTATTTTATTTTGGTTGCTATGTTATCAATATGGTTTATTCTAAATTATATTTATGTCTAGTTTCTGCCAGCGGCTTCGCTCACGTTTCTAGGGTTAAAAAGTGGCCTATGTATTATTTCAGACCATAATCTACCTAATTTAGTTTTCGTTTTCTTTTTTATAAGCTCATAGTTTCACACACCCTTTTATACATATTTTCAATGTACAGAATTTACACTTCTATAGTTTTATTATAGGTATAGATGTTGATGTTAAACAATGTAATTAATTGCAAAATGCCTAATTTCAGCATTATCAGCATAACATAGCATTCTATCCTACTAATATTATAAATGTGAAAGTTTGTGAGGATGTACGTGAGTGTGTGTGTGAGTGTGTGTATGTGTTTGTTACCATATAGGCTACAATTTGCAATGATTTTAAATTATTTTGGGTGTAATATAACACAAAATGTTAGCTAAATCGGGCCGCTGAGACCTATCTGGGCGTACGCCGCCTAAACCATAGGAATTACACAAAGAAAATGTACTGTAACATTGTTTGTCTTGATTAGTTCTAAATATAAGTCCACGACAGCATATCTACCTTTTATGTGGACGTCTCTATGCAGATTTTTAAGAATATTAATTATTTGCTCTACCAGCACATTTACAACAACTGTTAAATTTAAAAGTCTCTCTATAATGTATGTAAATAACATGGAATAAATAATATTAGAGAGATAACATGGAATAAATAATATTAGGTTTAGGTACACTTGTCCATTATTATGTTAACAACGATTTTTAAATTAATAATTTCAACCTTATAGTAGGTATACTTAACCTTCATTTTTCGCAGAGCACGTACTTGCCTGTTGCATGTAATAAATTGAGGCAGCTGTGAAGTTGGATTGGGTTATAAAACCAGTGCTCGAAATTTTGGGCTTAATTTGTTTCGTGTGAATGAGGGTGAAGTTCACGACACCTACCTGTCGTATGAAATGGGAATTGAGAAGGGATTGTTTGAACATATAAATTGTCCAAAGTCACTTAATTATATACACTTCCTTTATATCTTTTGGTAGTAATAAATTCTTATTCATTCCTACTTATACTGTCTTGGTTGACCGTTGTGTTAGTTCAACTATTAGAAACGGTAGATAAGGCCATAGTCGTGGTGGCCCGGAGGTTTAAGATGGCCGCTTCTCATGCATGAGGGTGTGGGTTCGAAACCTACCAACGGAAAGTACCAATGTGACTTTTTCAGAGTTATATGTATTTTCTACGATTATCTAGACACCACTGACAAACGGCGAAAGAAAACATGGTGAGGAAACCTGGGCTTACAATTTCTAATTATAAGTTTGTAATCGCCAACCCGCATTGAGCAACCGTGGTGATTAATGCTCAAACCTTCTCCGTGTGAGAAGAGGCTTTGCTCAGCTGTGGGCATTTATAGGCTGTTGATGAATGAAATGATTGAAAGACTACTTAATTAACTAAAAATCGCGGGTTACTGACGTGAATATACTGAGAAAAGCTCTACTAGTTTCGAACCACAGAGGGGTTCTTCCTCATGAGCAGCGTGCGCGGTCGTGGCAATGTAGCACAATACATCCTACTGAATTTTAAATTTAACTTTAATATCGTGCCAAAGAATTTGTGGTGACAGAACTATACTGAATTAACTTTTCAGTATTCGAGCGTATTTTGTTGTCAAAATATTTTGACAACAAAATATTTTGAAAGTTACTTTAGTTTTATTCGGATAAATAAATGACAGTATTTCAGTGTTATACTGCTACAAAAAAATACTGTCTGGCTTATGATGAAAAGTGCTCTTGCAAGGAAATCACAAACAAGATTAAAAATAATCGAATGATCTCGTCGTTCGTTTGAAATATTGCAGAATATCGTACATCTCGCATGTTTACTTAGCGTAGCGCTCACATCTAAACAAGATTACTCTTTATTACATTATTGATACGAATAACATATTGACAAGACTTCGAAATGCAGAGTTTGTTATCGATGAGATCAATATGTTTAGGAATGTTATTATTCGTTGCTTGATGTAAAAACAGATAGGTAAATAACCTATGACATAAAAAATAAAAATACAACAATATTTCAAAAGTAATACTTCTAAACATAACATAACATTACGGCAATTAATGCCATAGTAAAATGTAACACCCACTTTTCACTATTTATGCTATGAGTCCCGTGTAATAGGGGGTGAGACTATTGCCATATACCGGGCACAATTCCAGACTGCGTGCTACTACTGAGAATTAAAAAAAAACAGCAATGTTTTGCCCGACCCGGTAATCGAACCCGAGACCCCCTTGCCCGGCACTCAGCCAACGAGGCAGTCTAAGGTAAGTAATACATATCTTATTAAACGTATTTCAATAAAATACCTTAGAGTTCTATGAATAAAGTGTATGCTCAAAAAAAGCGGGAAAGTATAGTATGTGTTTTTTTTTAAGGGGGGAAAATCATCGAATGACTGCTCCCGCCTGGGTGAGGCGGGAGGGAGTGTCAGACTCTTACTGACTAAAAACCACCCCGTTCCTTCTCCTGCACGTCGAGCCGGAGCCCCGGTTACCCGTTAGGTTCTCCGCGACAAGTATAGTATGTGTAGAAGTTCTATGTATTATCGTTTTATGTACATTAGTTTTTGATTGTATGTGTTATGAATACTGTAGTGGCAACTATTAAAATAAAATAAAAAAAAAAACATAATAAAAAAAAAGTGTAGCAACAGTAATTGATTACATGTATTCGTTTTTAGTTTAAGCTTCGGGTCTCGAACTGACAACAAAGGTCAACAGAGTGAAAATTATGACAACTACGATTATTATCCATACACACGTATAGCTGTATTACAGTTACTGAAACGTGGTTATATATCCTTCAACAATTCAACACAGAACAAGTCCTCTCAGTCCAAGTTGGTGGTTGCCAGTGCCTGGCAGTGTATGTATTGCGGTTGACTGCATTTCAGCGGCACACCCTCACTCGACGCCAACAGCGTTAACTGCTCTTGTAACGAAGTGTGTGTGACTATGCGGTCTGGAAGAGATTTCCAACTAACCGAATAATCCTAACTACTGAAGTCTCTTCAGATGTAATTGTATTACGATTTTTGTTAGGGATTTGGTCTAATCCGTTTTGATACAATTTTTTTTTTCTTATAAAAACGTTGCCCCACATTAGGATTTTCTCCTGTGTCGTGGCTGCGTTTACAAACATACAAGTTCACATACACAATGACACCCAGACCCGAAACAACAATTTGTGGATCACACAAAGTGTTGTTCCGTGTGGGAATCGAACCCGCGACACGTTGCACACCAGCCGGTTGCCTAGCCACCGCACCAACCGTGCAGTCACCAAACAATAAATTGTTTATTTGCAAAAAACATTGCACTCTGCAAGTTATTTATTTATTTATCAACTTAATACAATGTGTATACAGGTGGAGATTATCTCCCAGTCTATCTTCAGCTAACCACCAGGCGAGATGACCTACCAAGTATAAAAAAGGTTTAAAAAGCAGCTGGACGTTTTTATAAAATATGTTTGAATCTGCTGAATAATAAGCAAATGGTCAATTTGCAAACTTCAACTAAACAGAAATGATTACCTACATAATTAATTGTAAATGTAGTTTTAGCTTATTTTAAGATTTACATACATATGTTTATTTTCTTTTCTTGTTATTTAAGTTCATTAATGTTGTAAATTTAAATTATATCCAACATAATAGGTATACTTCGAATTCCTGTTACAATCATGAGTCAATATAACAGTGTCGTTGCCAATCATTTGATATAATTATTTGAAAGTATGTGAATTACAATATTCAATTGCATAAAATGTCATCATGCAAATCACCTGTTCCACATCCCACATGTGCAATTCCAACTAAAAACTTCCTGAAGCTTGAAAGTTGCAACAGTTGAGAATCATTAATAATATCGTTCTTGCAGTGAGCGGTCTGAAACATTTGTAATATTTATAGTCCATTGCAACCATTTGCAGACTCGTCATAATTGCTTCAATGCTTTCAGCGAAAATGTAGCATCTGCTCGCCGTTACCTAGGAAACTAACCATTAGCGAAGACTTTTAAATAGTGAAGCCAGAAATATTCAGTTTTCCAATTACTCTTTTTGTGTTTGTTAAAGTTTTAATGCAAGTATATTCAAAGAATCTTCATTTAGTATTTAACCAGTGACAAAGCAAACAATCTTCAATTTTTGTTTGGACATTTAACACCAAGGTACTAAAATGCTACTGAATATTAGTTGGTACTTCCTAAATATCCTACTTTATCTGTCGTTTTATAAAGTGACAGAAGTATTCTTGAGAGCAATTTAAAATTAAATAGAGTTTGAGTATTTAACCATTGATGTCTTCGGATGAATATGAGTATAATGTGAACTATAGTGTATAGGGAAATTATAAAACACAAACACATTTACATAGTACAGAATTATGAAAAATTTATTACCAAAATCATTTATTATAACATAAATAACTTATAGAATAAATTAATGTTTATGATTCACGTTATTAAAAAGGTAAGTTTGGAAGACATGTCAAATGATAATTTCGTATCATGTCAATGTTGTACGTGAAAATATCCCTTCATATTCTGGGGTGAGCAGAACTCTTAGATGGTAGATTCAGTCGTTTAATCGTCGCCTCCAGTCATGACCTCCATGAATTCTGTAAACAAAGAAATATTATGATATTAATCTCTTTTTAAAAAATCAATTAAGACTTTGACTTTGACTTTGACTGCCAATAAAAAACTGTTGAAGGTAATTCCTCCGCTAACGTCGGTCACCGGTGACCCCCATCGCGTTTAACGTGGTTATAAAGGTATACTTAGTTTTTTAAATAATGTAAGGAATCTCTACGTGTTTCACAAAAATACAAACTTAATGTAACAAAAACAGGAATAGGTTAATATAAAGTAGGATTTTTGCGGTTGTAGGCAATCTAATTCAGTTCGTGTTTGCACTTTTTAAGATAACCATACTCCAAGTATAAAAAGTGGACAACTTGCTCATAAAACTTATGATATGGTCAAACGGATAGAATTCAAGGGATGAATAGATACAGAAGAGGGGTGAATAAATATTAAGACAATGTTCTAATATTTGTTCTCCCCATTCCTATACTCACCTCTTGAAATCTATTCACCCCGTTTAATTATATTTCATTACAGCCAACAATTAAATAGTATTCTATTGAATGAGCAAACGAAACACATAATTGCCAACGAAATAATTTAGGTACAGTAAGAGAAGTTAACTGCACACAAAATGCAATTTGTAGAACGTAAATTAGTTTGTTTTAATCAATTTATTTACAAGTCAGCTGAACTCAGCTCTGTAACGAAAATGTTACGGTAATAGAAAACTAATTTTAGTTTTGGCTAAGAATCTCTCGCTAACCTTACCTCTACGGCTAAATTTAAATGCTATCTAGGATTAACTGCTGGGTTTAAATACGTTGGATACAGTCAATTTTAGGGCATCCGTGGTCGTTTTTTATTGAATCGCAAATTCGGATTTAAGTCACAAAATGTAATGAGTACACTTATAACTTTGTATTTATAATTGTTCCCAAAATTATCATCATTCACATCGTGAAAGAAATATAATTTAATGAGTCTTTTTAGCAAATTGAGTTCTATTTATTAAATTAAACTATACGCGAATCGATAAAATTATTCAGGGGCTAGTACGCATGCGGTTTGATTTCATAGCATGAACTGAAGCATTGTAACTTTGGTTTGCTTCTGCTGTTACTCTATGACCTCAACGTGGCTAGAAGCTAAATGTTCTTTTTTATTTAACTGATAATTAAAATATACATCAAAACTTAACACGATTTTTATTTGTATGAAAACATGAAATCATCCGAACGATAAAATATTAGAGGTAAAGTTAGTTAACCTATAATTGGCGACTGTATAAGCCCAATACCTATTGTTACCTTTATTATCTCTTAATACTACGTATACAGAAGCTGTTGGTATACCTATTTAAATAAATAAAATAAAAGTAGATGTTTTATGTGATGTAAAGCTACTTTCCCTATTTAGGTAATCACATCACTACACAGATTAAAGCAGTAAGTCATTTTGTATACTATGAATCTATTCAAAGACTGGTGTAAAAGGAAATAAATTATACATACCATCAAAGTCCACGGTTCCTGAGCCGTCAGAGTCAATTTCTTCAATCATCATGTCTAACTCTTCAGCGCTGATCTTGTCATCCAGCTCTCTGAGGATTTCTCTTAAGACGCCAGTCGTGATGTACCCGTTGCCTGAAAACATAAGAAAAAAGAAAATTTGAAATGCTTTTAGTCTTATAACATTTGAGTGAACCGTGAGATGCTATAGAAGGCCAAATCTAGCCCCATCTTTTTCCGGGGGGAAAATCATCGTATGACTTCTCCCGCCTGGGTGAGGCAGGAGGGAGTGTCAGACTCTTACTGACAAAAACCACGCCGTTCCTACTCCTGCACTGCGTGCCGGAGCTTCGGTAACCGTTTACGTTCTCCGTGACTCCGTATTGGCATCAATCCTATTGGGTCCCATCTATGGTGGTCTGGTGGCTGGCCGTACGATCGGGGGTCCACGTCCATTAGGTCGATAATTTACTTATAACTTATCTGATGCTGCGGGTATCTATAAGGTTGCTTATTATAAAGTGATCCGTCAGCTCTTTCGTCGACTATCCCACCAAAAAGTAGGTAATAGGTATTTAATTTACGTACTATTCGTGTAAAAATCACTGGTATGGTGTGTTATTTCACTGTTCATTATTAACTAGTTCTGGTTAGGACACATTAATTAGGAGTAATTAGGCGTAAATTGAGGTATCCTTCACAGTTCAACACATATTATTGGAATAATTATTGTATCCATTAATATTATTGGAATTGATTTGTGTGAATACAGTAATAGTTTGGAACAAACAGTTTGTAATTATAAATATGCAAGTAATGTTTTCTCATTTGAAGTAGTTATAAATAATTTTATTTGAATTAGATAGTATTAATCTTACGAGAAGAATTGTAATGCATAGTGCCTAATGTAATCGTCATAAGACATTCACCACATTTAATATTGTTTTTTTTTTTAGTTTTGATGACTTGGCTATAGGTAATTGACAAAACTACCCTACACTAAATTAGACCTTACCTTAAAACATTCCTCTTATGTTAGTGCGACAGTGAAAATTGCTCATAAAGGTTTAATAAACAAGTAATATATATGAGCAACATCAAAAACCTATGGGGACATTTGTGAACCAAAAGCTTTTAAAGATCAATTTATTTCCTTATTGGCCGAAATGGCTGATGGTAATAAAACGGAAAAATCAATTCATAACTCAAAACGAACTAATTTTGATCCTTTTATCCTTGTAATAAAGTTCAAATGGTTTTACAAATTGATATAGGTACGTGGCTATGAAATAGAATTACATTTTCGGGGGAAATTAATTTCATATTTATAACGTATCGCCCGAGTCTTGGCCCTGGGTTTGTGGATTCCGACCTTACTTGAATTTTATATGATAGGAGAGGATATCCACCTGTATACTGAATTTTGAAATAAATAAATTATTTACGCATGATAGAGGACCTTTGTGGAGGTAATAAATAATTGTTGATGGAAAATACGTGATTAAATCATTGTATATAAAGATATTTTAAAATTGCTATGAAGTGGTCATCATTATTTTTTAGTACCTATTTGTCTGTACCTAGTCAATTTTTGACAAGCCAGGCAATACGTGTTCTTGAGCCTTATACCTCTATTTCGAGTGATAACTTAAAAACAGAGGATGAATAAAAAATGTAGTATCTGAATCAATGAAATCTTTTGATTTGTTCATCATTTATTTTCCTAATTACGTTATTACCTCGGTAATAAAAAATGTAGGTTATGCCCGAGCTTTAGATCAAAATTATTATTCTAATTGTTTTCATTCTAATAGATTAGTGAAATAAGTGAATAAGTAAAACAAGTGAATTTGCTTCTGCAAATACAAACTACAAGGCAACTCTTTTACACGTCAATTTTTCAACCGAACGATAAGTCGACATTTCCAAAAGAAATCTCGAAAGAAATTTGCAGGTCCGTCTCTTTTAAATTGCTTACTGTAACTTACCTACCAACGTGGGTCTATACATATTTGCACAAAATAATGTTTATTATTAGTATAATCATAGACTCAGCCTACACAGAAAATCAAGATACAAAATTATGTATAGGGTGGATTTACAAAGATTTATTTTAGGAGTATTTTTCCACCTACATAAAAATATGTACCACCTACATGTTTCGTCACCCGTGAGCAATCGAAGCATGACAAAAGTATTTATGAATATTGCCGACTCGGATAAAATGTAATCGACCTACACGTGCAAAATGGGAAGAATAGAAAAGTTCATAAGTATATGTGTGTGCGAAGCAATAACTCTTCGGCTATTACCAAGTATCGCAATGTTGTTACTTTTGAATAATGTTGCAATTGTCGAGTGAAATAAGGTTTACTTCTCCGTCTGTATAAATATTTGGTAACGTTATAAAAAAAAAACAAAAAATTATTCAAGGTGTATTCTATTGTTAGATAATAATAATAAAACAATGATTTCTTAGTTAGTTTAAATGAAATTAAAATATATGTGAACTTGTAAGCGTGGGAGAGCCATACTTCGGCACGAATAGGCTGGCTCGACCGGAGTAATACCACGGCCTCATAGAAAACCGGCATGAAACAATCGTTGCCTTGTGTATTGTCGTTTGAGTGTGGTTACCGAAGGCATTAGGCTTTACTCCCCTTCCTCCCAATCCCCGAATCCCCCACAATCTTCAAATTCCCAATTTCCAAAAGTCGGTAATGCACTTCAACGCCTATCGTGTCCCAAAGGTGTCAATGGGCAGCGCCGATTGCTTACCATCAGGTGATCCGCCTGCTCGTTTACCGGCTTATGCCATAAAAAAATAGTTCTTTGTCTAGCGTTATTCTAACTAAATTTCTTTCATCTCCACACCTTTTTTATGTAAAATTAATATTCTACGTGACGTTCTTATAATATTCTCGTCAAAGGAAGACGTTTTGCGGTTGAATCCTACGTAATAAAGATATTCATTACTGGGGTTTTATCTTGAGCCGGTGGTTATGAAGTAACACGATTCTTCCTACACATAACACGATTCCTGTCTTCACAGAGATTTAAGTTATATTTTATGACATGTTATTAATAATACTCATTGGTGTAGTCGAGGTTTGTATTTATGATGAAAGGATCAAAGATAAAACCAAACTATTTATTTCAATTATACCACATTTTAAAACTTTGTAATAATAGGTTGATTGTAGTTTTGTGAAGCTACATAGTTCCTTTTAAATTCAGGCAAAGAACACGGAGGATTTTTATTGAACAAAATTGAATTCACCAACCAATTAATACTTATTGGATTTTTTAAATTTTCTTTTTCGTTTCAATTGATATTGATGGCGTGGTATACAATTTCATGGACAAAAATTAACTTATTGAGTACGTTCATAATTTTAACTAATGACCTTTCCTCCTACAATGGCGTGATGATGACACCAGAGACGTAGTATTCTTAGAAAACAAAGCATACTAGTCTGGCTGACCTAATACCGATAAAAGTGTCAACATAATGATAAATTAGATATCGTCTGAAAATCTAATGGACATTGCCAAATTGTGTAATGGCATTTAAAATAACATAAACGACATTACTAACTAAATGTTTATCTCGGTTGTCATAGTCGAGTGATCTATTGTTCAATTATTATTTATCAATCATTACACAGTGGAAACTTGGCTTGGAAATACATTAGGAATGCTTTTGAACTAACTGCTTAGGAAGCATCAGAATTTTTTGTTATTTTTTATACTGTCAGTCTACGAGTAGTCGTATGATTGTATTTAAATATTACATTTCACATTTTTAGGTACTAAGGAGGAAAATATGCTAGTTTTATTTTGGAAAATTGAAACAGAAAATGAAGTCGCGGGCAACAGCTAGTTCCACTATAAAGTTCAATACACATCACCTTTTATTAAATAAAAGTGTTTTTGCAATAAAATGACTTTAATTTCATTTAACTAATATAATGTATTTATTTATTTTTTATTTTTTTATACATTTGGATTGCAGGTATACAATTTCATTAAATAGAATGTGGTTTGCAACAAAAAGCAAATTACTGGTTTTCACGATTAGTAACAGAGAATAGAAACATTGGCAACATGATACTAAAATTACATATCTTAAACTTATTAAACCACAGGTAATCTATAATGATGCACAAATTACTCCAAATATTAAGGACCGTATAGGTACTTACTATGAATTAAAGAATAAGAATATAATAATACTAGCTGTTACCCACGACTTCGTTCGTGTGAAATTATTCATGCTTCTTGTTAATTTATACCTTTTTTGACGCGACAACGTGTTGATAGGCGAGGCGTATTTGAGACCTAGTATGAAATGGAACGTTTATTGTCTACTCAAGATGGCGACTGCGGTTTTTCTGTCAGTGTCATTAAAATGAATTAATAAAACGAAATAATCTCCGTAATCCGAATTTTGCGGATATAAGTTGTCGACTCGAAATCAATATTTTTTTTATGTTTTGTTATTCAGGTAATGTTTCGATCGAGTCTACCGTACCCCTTGACGAAATTATTATTATAGAAGATGACTTTGTTATAGACCTTTTAATATTGATCTAAGTTGTTGTCTTAAGGCATACAAAAATCGCTCCAAGTAAATATCCGAAGGTCGTTATAATCTTCAAAACAACGATCTCAATCTTAAAAGAAAATGTTCACTTAATAATTTTTTAGACCATTGAGTCTTGTTGAAAAGCTTGTCTTGTTTGATCCTGTTACAAGCGAGATTTTATTTTCTTTTTAACTTTGAACTCACTATTTGGTATATATCTTAGTCTAGGCTGGTACAAAGGCCATAGATATAACTCAACGGTGCAAATTACGATGAACCCAGCTTATTAATATTTTGCTTTTATAGGTAGGTCAACTTATACTGTTCAGCAGTTTCAATAAGCTGTCGTCTTTAAATGCTTTGAATCTTTAGGTACCTGGCATCTATTGTTGTAAAAAATTTTGTCAGCTTTGAATTTACAAAGAGATATTATCCGATTATTTATTCGAAGTTTAACAAAAGATTTTCTGAACGTCTTTAAATTAAAACGTGACCTCCGTACATGCCTGAAGGAACATTATACTATTTGTACATCGTCATACTTTTTGTTTTTACTAAAATAATAATTAAACTGAAGTTTTTCATATCGAAACTTTTAAAGATATTAATAATGGATTCTAGTCTAGACCTAATTTTCAATTTCAATTTTAAAAACTTGTTGCCAAAGTAAAATGTCAATTTATTATCACAACAAGTTTTTAACGAATTTGAAATTGTTGTCATATTAGCGTCACAAAAAATAAGACTTTTTTTGTTAATTTTAGTTAAAAGAGATGGCCTTAAAAAGAGACGATGGAGTTGCTTGCTCGAACTTCTCCATTCAAATCTGCATTTTGGAACGATCACTAAGCTTCACTGACAAACTGACGGATTCAATTGTGACGTCCCAAAAGTACTTGATTAAGTAAACTTAAAAAATCTATTCATCCGAAGCTGTGATTAAAGAAATTACCTTCTTTATCGTATAACCGGAATGCTTCTTTAAGTTCCTGCTGCATCGCTTCAGCATCTTCCTCAACCATGAACCTGGAAGCCAGGGTTACGAACTCTTCGAACTCCAATTCACCAGATCCTGGAATATTAACGCAATAACATGAAATTTCATGAAGTTTTAAATAGTTGCTACGTGTTGATACTAAGAGTATAATTGTTTTTAAAGTTTAATATACCATCTATATAAATTACCTATATTACATTGAACCGATAAACTCGTTACATTTCATCACTTATCCAATTTTTTATAGCGTTACGCCTTTTATCCCCACTTTTTACAGTTAAATAATAATTTATGTAAAAACTAATAAAATGTTTTTGTAAATATTTCACCAAAACTAATCTCATTTCTCAAGCAAACTTCAGAAACAAAGTAATGATTTCTAAACAAATTGTAACAGATGTAAGCCGGTCGAAATAAAAGCAATTGGCATAAATTTCAACAAATCATCCTTCTACACGTAACGAGTTTTGTTCAAGTTTGCCCTTTTGTTTGCAAAAGGCCCAAACTTTATGTCTAAATATTTGAAATGAAACGTTGAAAGAAAAAATGTTAGTACTTAATATTACAAATTTTGTATTAGAATTTGTTTTTTTTTATACTTAATAGTTCGACGTATGACCACCATCTCGCCTGGTGGTAAGCGATGATGTGTCCGACGATGGAACACGCCTACCTATGAGCAACCTGTTCACTCGGGACTTGAAGACACCCAAGTCTTTGACGGGAAACACAGACTCCGGCAAGGATCCATTCCTTAGCGGTTCGCATAAGGAAGCTTGACGCGAAACGCTTTGTGCTAATTGGTGGAATGTCCACTATATAAGGGTGGCGCCATATATTTAGAGGATTCCAAATCTTTATGATTTGAAAATGAATGTCTGTTTGTTGCATTAATCTCGCTAAAATTCAAGAACGGCCGAATCATAATGGCTAATTTTGGTCTTGAAATGTTCTTGGAAGTCCGGGGAAGTCTAAAAGGTGAGAAACAATTTTTGAAGGTACGAAGTTTGCTGGGTCAACTAGTTCTTTATAAACATAATTCAAAAGAAGAAAATAAAAATCAAAGGAGTTTTTCCGTAGCGTGAAGTATTTATGTGTGTGAAGCTAATGGCTAATTGTAATGTGGATTCCAGAACATAATCTAACTAAAACAAATCGTTTATAGTGACATTCCACAAAATTAAATGTCTACTAATGACAGACGATTTATAGCGTATTTAAACAAAACATGAAATTAACCCTATCATTTAATTAACATTTTTTCGTGATTTGTAGATCATATTATCTGCGGTGTCTTAGAAATATATTGACATTAAAAACGTACATAATTCGTGAAATTTGGTGATACTAGATGAAAGGGATACATAAGGAATTTCTTCTGCTGTTGACAAGATAGAAATCAAGACACACCATCTGAATGGCTTATTGTGTTGACACAGATTGCCAAGTTGCAGAAAACAAAACAAAAAAAAATTAAAAACCTACATCGTACGATCATGGCTGAAAAAAAACCCGTACACAACACCCGTTCGTATAAAAGTAAAGACTGCTTTTCGTGAGTGAATTTCAACCATGTTATTATTTGGTCATATAGACTTAATGTTAAACTAGTAAGTTTATCTAATAACCGATAAACTTGTCTATAAATCGAATATTAAACAACAAGTATTTACAAGACAAATTATTGTTGTTTCTAATATTAAGCTAATAGTTTCTATGTAGAAATAGACATGTAGGTAAGATAGATTATATCAGCTGCGATGTTTCCCACGCAAATCACGTCGAAGTAGGGGAAAGGTGAGCGTATTCTTAGACATACATGAGGTAAGTACTAGTGCGAATAGATTTCATGTCCCTACGATAATTTCGGTAATTACTTAGTAAATGTTTGTACAATTTCAAATAGAATTTAGTACCGTTCATATAACTTATTGACGATGTTTTACAAGGAACTATTATCTGCCCTACATAACCCACTAAGGGTGGGAACTACCACGTTCTTAGCTAAATCTATTGTTGTTTTTGAAAACTCTACAATAAATAATTTACTATAGCATCTTATTTTTTGAATTCATAATTCTCAATACTCATTAGAAATATTCATTCGTTCACATTTTTAAATATAATTCTTATTTATGTACCTGATTCAAAACCGATTATTGATTTATTTGAAAAAAAAATTGATGTGTAACTTACCGTCAGCATCAACCTCGTCGATGATTTCTTTGAGGACATCGTCGCTGACCTGGTGACCTAACATGCCGAGGATTGTGCCCACCATCACCGTGCCTATGCATCCTTTCTTTTCTTGGTCAAAAGCTTCGAAAGCCTTCTTCAGAACTGGAATTAGATATATACTATGTTTATAAGACTTACTAAAAACATAGTAAATTAGAAAAAAATCGGCTTAAATAAAATAAAAAAAAAAACAAGAGGTACGACTAAAGTAATTATTTCTTTTTAAAACCTTTAGATAATTCATAAAAATACTCACTGCTGATTTGTTCCTTGTCAAGTTCCTCCTGAAACCACCAGAAAAACATTATTAAAAATAAATTCATAACGAAAATTTTTATAACAAATTATTAAAACTTGAATTCACAATAGACGAAAACACTGATATCACTTCACTAAAGCACGAATCACGAAACAAAATAGTCTCACCATTGTTTAGAGATAGTACGAGGGGTTCCGTCTAAAGGAATTGCACGATGCCGTATGCTAGAGTGAACCACAGTAGGAGGAACACGAGCCCTTTTATCTGAATGGAATGACCGACTGTACGGAGCCGCGCGAAAATATCACCCAGGTTGATACAGTGGGTGCCTCGGTCCTCTACAATGTACTCCCAACACCGAGTCACTTCGATTTGGCGATGCAAAATGCTTTTAACCGCCGACAATAAGGTCACCATACATTAAACAGTTGCCGGATGTCCACTATACTCATGTCTCTTGCACGTTATGCCAAATGCGTATTTCACTATCAACGATTCGATTCCGTTTGGTTATTAATTACACATTAATTAAAATATCACCGCGGTTGGACGGTTGCCACGCCATTTGTAGAATATTTTTCTCATTATAAACAATAGTAATAAAAGTAGGTGCTCACAGGAATAGAATCGAGTTTTAAATAAGCTGTAATTGTTTCATTTCACTGTGCTACTTAATGGGAACGTGGATCTGTGAAAAAAGGTTATTAAATTCATCAAATTCCACGTTCGGTAATTCATTAACCATTAACAAAGCGAACATTTCATTTCATTTTAATATACAGTGCCAATAACTAACGTATAGATGTAGAGTATATTGTTAGCCATCAGTATCAAACATTGTAATTTAAGCCTAAAGTACTAATAATCACACATTTGGACGATAATATAATTAATTTAAATTTTCGCTTGCAGTTTCAGTATTGCGAGCAAAATTGCCTGCAGCACATCAAAACTGGACCAATTTTCTATTCACCCTATGTGGGATATCATTTTGATATCCGTCATTAATACTTCATTATTGAACTGAAAATTGTATATGAAAACTAGTGATGTCATGTCTGTACAATAAACTGAAATGGTTGTAACGTTTTAGTAGGTATCACTTTATTTATGTATACCGAGAAATTATACCATTTAAAGTTTTTAGTATTTATTTTATGTGCGTAAATAAAAGCAGTAAAATCCAAGCGTCACTCTAGTAGTGTGAGGGGAGGGGAGGACAGTGCGCCTGCACACAGACAGTGACATATTTTGTCGCTCCCAATGGTGCCAAATGCAAAGAAAAGCTAAATGATGCAACGCAGCATTTAGAAAAACATACAAAACGAAGGTTTTCATGTGTTTAGTATGTGAAACAACAGAGCAAACGCATAACGTAACATCACGTATCACATATCACAGAGCAAAATAAGGTAAATATGGAGTAGGTTCCCAATTTTTTATTTGGTAGGTTAATTTGAAACATTGGACTCGTATTTATTATTTTCTTACAAAAATTAATACTTTCGACGATATAATAATTTGAAATATCGTGGGAGTAAAACAACGACGCGACGGCCTCCCACTCCTAAACTTAACGCTATTTTATCTAAGTTTTGTAACTTAATATTGACCTTATATTTTTTATGTATAAAAACAACTTGGTCTTGTGGGAGAGCCATGCTTCGGAACGCATGGGCTGGCTCGACCGGAGTGATACCACGGCCTTAGATTAAAATTTACTAAAACCACTATTCTGATCGACTAAAATAGTAATTAAACAGATGATAATTGATTTTAGTTATTTTAGATGATAGAATCTAAATAAAGCCACGTTATTAATGAGTACTTAGCCAGCAGTCAAATGGCGGTAATTGAACTTTACGTTGTTAATAATCATTTTATTCATACTTCAATAAACACTAGTTATTTTAGCAATTAAACTATGGTGTAGTATTTTTAAAACCATTTTGATGTCAATAAAATAAAGTCATTAAAATATGTATTTTTACTGAAATATTCTGTATTTCAGTACTGCCCTGATACATAATTACGGTATTAATTAAGACAACGCGAGTTTAACAACAATTTCGATGACAGTTTTAGATCTAAATCGATAATCAAATAACGAAAATGAGAAAACTTTCAGTATCATGACTTTAATAGGAATTCTCATCACTTTTTTTAAACATCAAACATTTTTCGCTCTGACAATATTAAGCGCCATGTCAGTAACATTAAGACATTAGCATACCAAATACATCAGCACATGGATTCTTAATTGCCGTCCAACCAAATGACTTAATTGCACTAACCTGATAAATTGCAAAAAAGAATGACAACACTTCTTTATAGTAGCTAGAAACAAAAATAGATACAATCCTTTGCAAACGATAGTAAAAACTATTGAGCTGCCAGAAATGTTTCAAGTTCCTCAAAAGTTTCTCACTGAAATCTGACCATCTTGTTTTGCTGTGAAATAGAACAATGCAGTATATATAACAGACACGAAAATAGCTACATTGTGTTACAGTTGGAGTAGGACATATTATTTAGACATCAAAACCCGAGAGTCTACAAGTTTCGAGTAAATAGTCTATATATGGGCAGGCGTGCTCCGTCATAGGCCGCATCGTCACTTATAATCGGGCGAGATAGCGGCTATGCGCCTACCACAAAAAATTGTATACCTATTTAGTAAATAAACAAGTTCATAAGCTTTAACACACGTTTCTATCATCATCATCATCATCTTCACCAAATTCACTATTGATTTTTTTTATAGCATAAGCCGGTAAACGGTAACGAGCAGACGAATCACCTGATGGTAAGCAATCAGCGCCGCCCATGGACACCCGCAACACCAAGGCGTTACAAGTGCGTTACCGGCCTTTTGGGAATTGGGAATTTGAGGATTGTGGAGGATTCGGGGATTCGGGACTAGGGAGGGAGGTAATTGGGCCTCCGAAATAAATAAATTAATGAATAAAGACCTTCTACCTCTCTGTGGAAAGGGTTTGCCTTGGAAAGCGATTTTAGTATCCACCTTGCGGTAGCTGATTGCATTTTTGGAACATATCCGACAAGAGCCGGTTCTAACCAGAAGATGATAAGATATCAGTAACACGTACATTTTGAAAGTAGAATACTTTTTAATAATGTTTATCAATATTGTATAAGTCAGTAACATAAGCTTTTATCATTAAAATGCGACAACAATATGAAAACACACATGTGTAAATCCAAGTTAGTAGTAGAACTTTTATGTGAAGATTTAGGATGGTAAACAAATTGTTTTCCAGAAATATATTATATTATATTATATTAATATATTATATTATTTGATCAAACCTAAACCGAACCATTTTAATTAATTTTAGTTTAATAGAAAGTTATTTAACTAATCAAAGTATTTCCTGATACTGTAATATATTGTAAGGTAAGGTGACGTCAGTCGCGTCTCCTGGTCGAGTTGGCATTGCGTGCGCGCAGTGGGCTGGCCACATCCAATTAATGTTTCATCTAGTCGTACCCTAATCACTGGTACAGGTGTTCCGCAATTAATACCGTGAATATATTCACGTAATTATTTATAGCTGCTTCGCTCTTGGTTGTTGACTATAGCAACATAGTTCGTCCTATTAAATAAATAGGTTAATACTATTTACACTACATATTTATAGTATGAATCTATTACATAAATTTAATGTGAATTAAAATATCTCGGTTGCATGTTAGATATGTTTATTGGATGTTTAATTTTCATATGGCTGGTAGTTGGATTGTTATTGAAGTGTTTTATTGCACCGACCATGTTTTTATGTATTAGCTAAAGGTTGATTTCATTTATTTCAGTTTCATCATCATCATCATATCAGCCACAGGACGTCCACTGCTGAACATAGGCCTCCCCTAATGACTTCCAGATAGGCCGGTTGGAAGCGACCTGCATCCAGCGGTTCCCTGCGACCTTAATGAGATCGTCTGTCCACCTTGCGGATGGACGTCCTACGCTGCGCTTGCCGGTACGTGGCCTCCACTCGAGAACCTTTCTGCCCCAGCGGCCGTCGGTTCTCCGCGCTATGTGCCCTGCCCACTGACACTTCAACTTGCTAATCCGCTGGGCTATGTCGGCGACCTTTGTTCGTTTGCGGATTTCCTCGTTTTTTAACCGATCTCGCAAAGAAACTCCGAGCATAGCCCTTTCCATAGCGCGCTGAGCGACCTTGAACTTCTTTATAAGGCCCACAGTGAGAGACCACGTTTCTGTTCCATAGTTCATCACTGGTAACACACACTGATTATAGACTTTCGTCTTGAGGCACTGAGGTATGTTGGACGAGAAGATGTTGCGTAGTTTCCCGAACGCTGCCCATCCAAGTTGGATTCGACGATTGACCTCTTTCTCGAAATTGGACCTACCTAGCTGGATCACTTGTCCTAGGTATATATATTCGTCAACAATTTCGAGGGTAGAGCTCCCAACTGATATCGGGTAGGGCGTAACATGGGCGTTCGACATGACTTTCGTCTTGTCCATGTTCATTTGGAGCCCTACCTGTTGAGAAACTCTACAGAAGTCATCGAGCATTGTGCTTAGATCCTCCAGCGATTCTGCCATGACCACAATATATAATACAAATATTTCAGTTTGGTATCTCTGAATAAATTCGTTGTCAAAATATGTAGGTAGTATAAGTAGGACTGTCTCATTGGCCGAGTGGTCGTAAGTGCGACTGCCGGATAAAGGGTCTTGGGTTCCATTCCCGGGTTGGGCAACGTATTAATGCGTTTTAAGTCTGGATTTGTGGTCGGTATATGGCAATAGGCTCACCCCCTATTATATGGGACTCATATAATCATAATCATCATACATAGTGAAAAGAAAAGTGGGTAAAAGGCATGGTGTTATGTCCTGATGGACATAACACCATGCCTTTTACCCACTTTTCTGTTTCTGTTTCTGTTTTTTATGTTATATATATATTTACCCACGTTTCTGTTTTTTATGTTATGTCAAAATATAGAAAACAGTTCAGCATAAACTCGTGGCTATAATTTTTCAAATACGTCTGTGATATTCTTATAAATGTTAAGTTCTCAAATATTAGTGCCCCCGGGGCGCTCTAGACATTTGTATCTGCGGCGATACTTAGGTATAGACCCCTTCTAACACTTAAAGTTTTATTACTTACATCCCTTAGGGTACTGTTAAATATAACATTAAAATAGAAACTTTATTTTATCTTACTTCTAACCACAAGCGAAGAGATTAACATAGATTTAAAATCATAAATTGGAAATTTCGATTTTAAAACCACTTAGCATTACTCTGCTTGATCTGTCCAGGACAGATTTTATCTATATAGATAAATAAAATTGGAGTGTCTGTTTGTAATACTAAAATAACCGCTTTTTACTACATGCTAATGAATATAGATACGATACACATAGCAAAATCACATATTTATATTTTTTCTATCTGTTTGCACTGGCTCATCTCTGAAATGGCTGGACCGATTTTGCAAGATTGTTATTGGCAGGTAGCTGATATACTAAGGAGTGAGTGATTTAAATTGTTAAAATGAAATTTTTAAAAAGTTACATTCTAAAATTAATCGGACGACGTCGCGAACAACAGCAAGTACCTAATAAAATCTTCTATCGACAGATTTCTAGAGAAAACTACGTGTCTGCATTTCATTATTTTTTTCTAAATTTATGAACCTAAATATAAAATTAATTAAACTTTTAACACCAGTAGGAACCAAGTTACATAATTAGCCTGCAGTCTAATTAAAAAGTACATTGTAGTTAGTTACTGGGATTTTAATGAATTTATCTTTAATGACACCGCTTGAGACAGCACACAATGATAAATAAAGGCTCGTACACAAAACTGCGATGCGATGCAAATTCGCAACGCAGAAAATTACGATGCGAATTGCTGCGATGCGATTTCGTGCGACAAGGCTGCTGCCAGGGTGACCATTCCTTCGACAACCGTCAACTGTACTATCTACCTAAAAAAAAATTAAACTGAAAACATGGATCGTAAAAAGAAGTGTGCACTTCTGTTATTGCTTAGGAGATACAGGAAAAAGAAACAACTAAGATTTCGGTGCAATTTTTGATGCGCGATGCGAATCAATTCGCAAGTTCTTGCGATGCGTAGAAAGAGCTCGCAAACAGTTTTGTGTACGAACCCTAAAACCTGTTTTAAGAAATTCTGAAAAGACGAACTTCTTAAGAACTGATAGAAATTTTCTGCATCAACTTTCATCTACAAAGTATGAAAACTTTGCCAGCATTTTATATGTGGAAAAGTGTGTTGAAATTTTTCAAAGTAAATAATTTGTATCCTACTTATGCTATAGCGTTCTGGAACACTGGACTGCTCTCGTGAATCTCTGTTTAAAACTACTTTTGTAGAGTAGAGAGCTTGAGTTTATACATAGTATGTTATTGTATTATTTCTATCCAAAATACGTACGTTTATTTTAAAAATTATAATTTAGATTTTAAATTTGGTCTTCTAGAACAGAAATACCAGAAGATAAAACCTTTCTTTTATCGTTTACGCTACTATACAATACAACCTATTAATTAGTACAATCATATTTAAATGAAAGAAAACATTTCTTTTTTAGTCACAGATGGAGTCACTTGATTGAACACATTGATTTCGACAAAGTACCGTTTGCTCTAATAACTGAAACTTGAAATTACAATTTTTAAATTCAGAATAACTTTAAACTATACGTATCTATGAAATTATAATACGTTATATAATGTTAAGCTCAAACTTTCAGCTTCATATGAAATAGTAGTTATTATTTTTTATTTAGAAGTGTCTAGATCAATCTTTAAATTACACGCCCCATACACAATAACAAAACAATTCGCCAAAGTTAATGGTCTACAGTAGCAGACCATCTTTTACGAGTGATAGATGATCACTAGGCGACGAAGTCATTATTGGCTGCCAAGGGAGACAATGTCACTGCCAAGTGCATTGTTCTTGGTCTGGGTGTACAAGGCCTGCCAGACTTGTAACCCGTTTCGTACTATTGTTAGCGGGACTAATATCATTTATAAAAGTGATATAAGTCTTAAATGATGTGTCGTGAATGTACAGGGGATTATTCTGGCATGCGGCAGTGTCAGCTTCCCTATATGTAGTGAGGTCGATGGACCTTGCTACAGATGATGGAGCAGTAAGTGTGATGATGAATTAATGATGTTAGATGTTTGGAATTATGTTTTGATGTTCTAGAAAGAATGTGGGTATTTTACTGTACAGTGTATTTTTTTTAAGGGGGGAAAATCATCGAATGACTGCTCCCGCCTGGGTGAGGCGGGAGGGAGTGTCAGACTCATACTGACTAAAAACCACCCCGTTCCTTCTCCTGCACGTCGAGCCGGAGCCCCGGTTACCCGTTAGGTTCTCCGCGACACTGTACAGTGTATAGTAGTATTATTAGATACAGAATGATTAAATGAATGTAATGCAATTTAACTAAAATAGTACCTACTTCATAGTTTTAAGGCGCGAAAGGAGATTGATATCATGTAATGAACTGGACATTTACGACAAGGGTTGGCAACAAAAAGCTTTATACATAGAGAGGGGTGGAAGGAGGAAAAATGGTAGAGTGACCTTTGGTCTCCAGTGGGACGAAAATAGAGGTAAAATAAATAAATAATATTTTTAAAGTTAACAAAGGTCCTGAAATGTAATATTTTGGCTTCTCGATTACACGTGGATATAGGGTAGCCACGTCCCAAAGAGACATCACGAATTTCCTAAATATTCACACGTCGTGTTCCAAAAAACATTTCAAATATTGTATAATCTAGCCAAGTACCAACAAAAGTGCTTACACGTGTGAGAATGGTTAGGGTACACGTGTCAGTTATTAGAACTTTCCATTCATAACAATGCAGAGCGAAATGACATTGCAGAATTGCTTTCAGCGGCGAACAGATTGAAAATCTCAGACAAAAAATAAAAAACAAAAACGAATTGGTTTTTTATTTTTTTTATTTCAAGTTGTTATTATTTTATGAAACTTAGCTACAGTTTTAATATTGTGTGACCCTTTAAGTCATAATAGAGCAGAAATTCTTAGCTAAATGTTTAGACCAAAGAAGCAGTATTTTTCCCATTACAAAACATCAGTTTTAATTGTCATGCTATTTTTTTCTACCTCTGTTGTAATTGATTAAATAAAACTGTTGCACTCGATTAATATCATAATTTTATTATTTATTTCATAATTTACAAACATCTATAAATAACCTTATACACTTAATACTTTTAAATAGTTTGAATATACATAAATGTACTTATTGTTATAATTTATGTGCAAAATCATAATACAAAATAATAAATTACATATGTTGTGATACAATGCACAGTATGATATTTTTCTCTTAATATTCTTACACTCTACCTAAACTATGCCAACCAATGATATTATGTTTTGTAATATATTTAAAACTTTAGTTTTTTTTGTTCTACACAAAATAATTCTTTTAAAATTGATACTAAATTTGGAACATTTCTAATCGCTTTCGTGCATATCAAGAAACTAGATCAACAGCGTCGCTTTACTATTACTAATTGATTTTCTCTAGGCCTACAGTCGTTTTTAAATGCGTACAAGAATAGAACAATCGTCCAATGGGCAAGACAATGCACGTCGCCGTCATATGCGCGAGCGTCACGACGCGTACGAAGCAGCTGTAATAGATTGATTCATCGCGAGGGCTCTCACTTTGACGGCTACCCGATACACAGTCAGTGCATATTTCAGTCGTATGATGAAATTGAAAAACTAAATACAGTTCAAAGATATAAGTAGTGTAACATAATATTATTTTACTTCCTGATGACATAATTCAATCTTATACTATCTAGAGGTATATAAAGCGGAAGAGTTTGTTATTGTTTGTTTGTTTGAACGCACTAATCTCCGTAACTACAAGTCTGATATGAATAATTCTTTTTGTGTTGGATAGCGCATTTATTGAGGATGGCTATAGGCTATAAAACATCACGCTACGACTAATAGTAACTGAGCAGAGCGTGTGAAACCGCGCGAAAGTAGCTAGTTATCCCTTAATCGGGCCGAACAAAAACAATAATTTTTCATGGTTTAAGTGTAAGTTCTTGTATTATGTTAGATAGCAGTGTACATAAAAACAATATAAATTACTGAAACTGAAAAGAAAAAGATTTTTCCCGTGGGAAATTATTTCCCTTTACCCGATTACGTCAATACATTTTAATAGACTATAACATGGTGGGAAAATAATTCCTTGTGCCCGATTAAGGGTATAATAAAAACTGCGTTTAAAAAACCGACTTCAAACAACCAAAAACTAATAACAAACAATAAGTAAAACTAAAAAGCAAAAATGAACCATTATTACTACTGATAGGTTACCTACCCACTGATTAGTACTGATAGGTTACCCACGCACTGACAGGTTAGAAGGCGGCGCCATAATAAAACAATCAGTCGAACACAGTACTTCCTCCTTTTTTTGAAGGTAAAAAAAAGTTTGATACATCAGATTTTTCGATATAGGTTCCCAAGTCTTGTAGTAGATAATTATACACACGGCCACACATCAACCTATACAAAACCAGTTTATCCTGGTGTCGCGTCGCATCATCTTTCCGCACATTTAACGTTCAGTTTATACTGGTTAAGTAAAGCTCGATGTGTAGCCGTGTGTACATGTTTTTACATACAACAGAAGGCTTATTGTAATTAGTAATGTGCATGTTTGAATTATAGTAAAATACAAATAAATTGTGTAAAAGATACACTCATTCTATACTTATGTAGATGTACTTAGTATCAATGGCTATAATACATAATGTGTATTCTCTGCACATGTTTACGTTCACATAGAAAGCTAAGTAGGTACCCACTTCAAGTATTTGCTAAATGTACACGGTACAGGAAAGTAACTGATAGCTTTAAAAATAACATTCCTATATGTTGCGTACATTTATGACAAATGATACCTGACATTTCATATGACAAATGGAATAACACTTCCTGTTCGTAACAGTCATAATTAAACTATTTTACACTCTCGTAAGTCTTATAATTATCCACATCGATAGAATAGTACAGACCTTCATCGTCAGAAACCCAGGAAAACGTGGATAGTTCTGATGACATAGAATTAATCGACACTTCATTGTTAAAGTGATGACGTATACGCCATTCAGCCAATTGGTCCTCCGTCGGTTGAAGAGGTGAAATATAGCTTGGAGCACTACTCTTATTGCTCCTTATTGACTTATTTCTTTTGAACCTACTTGGAATATTATTAACATGATTTGCAGGCACAACAAAAATCTTCTTACAGCTTTCATTTACCGGTGGTGCACTAAAATCATTTCTCAGAGGCACTTTTGGCGGCAAAACCAAGGCATCCACAGATTTATGTTTCACAAACAATATTCTCTTACTTCCCTTTAGAAGATGTGGGTGCTTTCTAATCACTGCGTAAACACAAAGAGCTCCAAAGATCAAACACACCATTCCAGTCACGATATAAAGTAAAATTTCAATCTGATAGTAGCCTTTTTCAAAGTCGAAAACATTGTTATTATGGTAAATAACACAGTTTTCTGGTTCAACCTTCCCTGTGCTTAATTTTATCGGACAGAAAACATATTCAGCTTTTATCTCGATATTATAAATTCTGAATACTGATGGCACATCACTAATGCAGTACAACTCATGTGGGCAGTTGGTTTGGTACCACACGAGCCCATAGTCTACCATATCCGTTGCGTTTATTTCGACAACGGAATACTGATGAGTTTTTATGAAATAGTTCATCTTTATCCACGACCTCTCAGGCATTAATTGTGTACTATTTTTATCCAGAAACGAAGGAATGATATCTATACTTTCTGTATCATTAGAGAGGCAGCGGTGTCCATGCACTGGTGACAACATCCTCAAGCCGGAACTCGAAGGACGATTGTGAAAGCACCTCTGGCTCACATAAAAGAACCCACATATATCGTCAACATGTTCCCACCACCTACTTACTTCATTTGATGCCTCTTTTATAACGGTTCCATATGCCAAGTCATGATTATTACCAGAACAATATGCATCAAGTTCACTAAAAGTTTTATTTTGAAAATGTTCCGGGCTGTCACAAACCGGAACAGTGAGCAGTACGTCTTGTCTTGATAGTCTTCTTATTTCTTCTGCCGAACAGTCACATTTCCACAAATTGTATTGTAAATTAATTCTAGGCCGAGGATCGGAAATTGCTATAAGATTGCTGAGCAGACCCGGTGGTAGTGTTGTCAGTTGATTATTGTGCAGGTATATCATTTCAATGTTAACTAAACTATCAAAGGTGCCTGCCCCGATCGAAGTTATTCCACATGAGTTAAGATATAGAAGTTTACATTTTTTGAGACCAATAAAGCTATTTCTATCCAATACGTCTTTAAAATTATTTGTGGATAAATCAACAGATTCCAGTCGAGTGAATATTGTTACACCTGTAATGTTTCGCGGATCCCAGTACCTACTTCTAGTTATTGAAAGGCTCACCAATGTGTCATGCAGTGCTCTTAAAGCATCCCTTGGTATTTCATTAAGGCCAATGTTATTTATATAAAGTTGTTGTAAATTGGAAAGGCCTACGAAACTATCTGGTGTCCAAGATTTCAACATCAGGTTCTTGAATTCCAACACTCGAATATTGGTACAACATTGACTCATAAAGGCATCTGATGGGATATGCTCCAGATTTCCATTCGTTATTGTCAATTCATGAATGTGGTTGGTTCGCAGCCTGTCCAGCCATTTTGGTGGCATTGTGTTGTCAATAAACATTGGAGAATCCAGAGTTAAAAATATGAGTACACAATTATTCTCTTCCACGGTCTAGAACAAAAATACAAACACAAAGTCAAAAATTTTCGTAAGGCCCGGTTAGGCTAGGCTAACAAATTCACTCCAATATTTGTATATAATACGCTGTTTCCTTAAAAACTTTCCATTACAAAATTAATTCTAACCTAAATTAATAAAATAATCTTACCATTACAGCTCGAATGATGTGGTCTTCATATTGTCCAAAGTAAGGTGTGTCTAGACAAAAAATTCTGCAACCGTCGATACGGCATCGTGCCGCAATGGTGGGCGGTGGCGGCGGTGGTGGCAGCGATTGGGATGGCCATGTTGGAACTGCCATTAAAAGTATTAGAATAAAACTGGCCACCGTGATAGTCGCAAAAATGGTCTGAACCACCAGCCGCAACCAACCTCGACTGCATGATGCATTTCTGAAAATGAATAAAAAAACAATGAATCTTTCGCATGATTGTCAAAGATGTCAAATATTTTCGTAATGAAACATGACTACATTTAAAAGTTATAAATTTTTGGTCGGGTAACTACACAGGAAATGTTTAATACATTGTAATGTTGCTCTAGGCACTTATCAGTCAATCTACAATAAACATGGCAGTAATAAGTACGATAGTACAAAAACTTGCCTGATAAAAATATACATATTTCTGATGAAAAAGCTTACAATACTCCTTATTTTTTTTATTCGGTTTGGTATGAAACCAAAATGCTGTGAAATTATGTCAGGAAAAAATATACAAACATAATAATTTACTTTTAATAAAAAATAATTTCTCAAAAAGAGCTTTTAAGCTCTTTGGAATCTAAGACATGAAATTTTATATACAGACATCAGACATCAGATCATAATATGAATTCAGAAAATTCTAGTACGTCATAACTGGATATTCTGACCTATGTTAGTGCTGCAGAGGTTGTATAAAATGATATAAGTAAAGATAGTAAACTTACTGTACAACTGTTGAGACTGTAGATTTTGCCAGCAACCCGGGACGAGTCAACTGCATTCCTTTCAGTATAGTAATAAACAGATTTTTAGTAGAAAAATAAACAGATATTTCTACAAAGGCCTTCTATGTATAACAATATTATGCGACGAAATCTTCATTCGATTCACTGCAAACCACACTAGATTAATCAGCTCCTCGATATTAACAGGTTCTTGAATACCACGAACTTATTTGACAGAGTTGACTGAGAATCTCCATGCCCTATCTCCGAATCCCAACTAATCATAGACTAAACCACATTATTCATTTCAGACGAATATAGGAGATAACTAATCTGGATCACGATAAGTATTAAAATGATACTTTATCAGCCCATTAGTTTTCCTGATAAACTTAGTAAACATAAAGGTGATGGAGCGGGTTAATTTCACGGACAAGGGCGTTCATTGGCTATTAACTGCGTAAGATTGATTGATGGGGTATTTATGGATTACTAAACTCAAGTTTGGAATCCCGACGGATATTTGTTGCAATTGCGTCGTTATATCCATGCTTTGGTACTGTAAAATATTTTTATATTTCGTCTAGGAAAGCTTTTACAGTTCTAGAACAAGTAGGTAGGTAGATTACTTAAGTTCATGTCATATACTTACATAGATATGTACGAAATCGCAATATTTTAGTCACGTTTAGCTTGTAATATTCCATATTATAAATAATAAGCATCTCGCCTTTTGATCCCGGAAAGAGGTAGATTGTATTGTAGATTTTCGGAGAAAGTGTAACGTGTTTTTAAAAACTTCGCGTATATTCAGGTTTTATAATATTTTCTGCGAATACTGGATTATGAAGAAACCAAAACGTAAACAGAATAAAAATGCTGTAGACACGGCAACGCCAAGAACTAAGAGGATTAACGAAGCACATTAAATCTGTGCTCCGCAAGCCGATTAACTTTACACACGACCTTACCACTCTCGTAACTAGATCTATATTCTGTTATTGAATTTACCAACAAGTAAAACATGCAAGCACTCGTGGTAGGAACTATAATTTAAAGAATACCTATTGATCTTCAGCTCATCAATGCTTACGACTCTTGAGTCGTACAATATCTTTAAACTGATTTACACTACAATATGGGACCACGTTGGAAAAACAGAGAACAAAAGATAATTTTTATGGTCACTATTTTAATATTATTAAATTGATTATGAGATACTTAGTGGCTAAATGTATGTCGTGGTGGCCCGGAGGATTAAGACGTCCGCTTCACGACAAGTACTAATGTGACCTTTTCGGAGTTAGTATTTTCTAAGCTTATTTAAACCACTGACAAACGGTGAAGGAAAGCATCGTGAGGAAACCTGGACTTATAATTTCTAATTATAAGTTTTTAATCGCTAACCCGCATTGAGCAAGCGTGGTGATTAATGCTCAAACCTTCTCCGTGTGAGAAGAGGTTTTGCTCATGATCATGATGAGTACCTAAATTTTTTTTATGGTATAACCCGGTAAACGAGTAGACGGTTCACTTGATGGTAAGTAATCGGCGTCGCCCATGGACATCTGGAACACCAGAGGCGTTACAAGTGCGTTACCGGCCTTTTGGGGATTAGGAGTTTGAGGATCGTTAGGAATTCTGGAGAAATGTAAAAGTACAATTAATAGATGTAATAAAAACGCATAGCTTCATAGGTGGTATGACTCGGTCACTTGCCATTCACTAGGAAAATGCATTTTCGCTCCTCACTATCTAGCACTTATGATTATGATATAATAAACAATCTAGTTACACCTGACATAAGTTCTAACACTTATGAAATACATGGACATTTTGTAATGTGTTGTGTATAAACGTAAACGTCTTCGACTATTGATATTATTTTAAAATCAAACTAGTTACTTATATCTGTCTTGCAGTTGCGTTTGCAAAAATAAGAAGATTTCCATCAGCTATTCTTTATAACATCAACCTATTCGCACCTTATTACGTTAATATTGTTTATGTCATGGGGGTCACCGGTGACCAAAGTGGATGATTCACCTTCAACAATTTTCTTTTAGCATTCAAAGACTTATTTTGAAATCAGGTGCTTAAACTGTCAAACACCAAGCGGTCACCGGTGACCGCAACCTATTGTTCTATAATTGTGTCTACAAAACCGGTACTCGACGAGTTAAATAATAAGACACTAGGTCCAGCAGTATGTCATACATAAATCGGATGCATTAAAAAGAAAAACAACAGAACATGTATTGCCGATAATTTATTCAGTATCAGACATATTTCACTATACGTGCAAGTTACATCCCAATGGTACAGTCGCGCCAATGCTCCGAGCATTATGCATACGTCATAATTATCGATGATATTTCCGATTGGTCGCGTTCGATTCCCCTGTGGCTTTTAATACAAGCCCACACACCTCGATAACATTAGATAACGTTGGTTTGTGAAATTGCGTAGTATTTTAGGAACAATACAAGCCTATTTTAAAGTCAATTAATCTGACTTGTTCATTGATTAGTGGTAAGCATAATGTACTATACATGTATAAGGATTTTTGGGTTCGCTCTATCGATAGGATTATTGAGCACTACAAAAAAGTTCTTAGTTATACCACAGAATATGAAAAATTGTTCCGAGTTAAATGGATTGGCCCCCTACTAGACGGCCTTATGATAACAAAGTGACAAAATGAACATGTTACATGTTAATCCATATGTACACTGTCTCCTGATAAAGTGTGACGTTATGTTTTATTACTCGCTAATCACGTATACGAAAAATCACAGCTTTTCTTATCAACGACACAAATATCAGTTATTATCGTACTGACTGCTAATGTATCGGTGACATCAAATTAAAAAACACTTCGTACATTATTGGTCATAATGTTGTCAATGGACACCAATAACAACTTTCCTGTTATCAGAAAAAAAACGTAACAGCTGAAGCTTCATAGAAAGGACCATGATTCATTACCTACTTTAAAAACAAATTGCTCATATACACATAAACCATGGACAATAATCGAAAAAAAAAATCCCCAACTTAACATTACCTTCCCTATCCTCTCCAATCTGCCCGATAGGGCCGATGCCGGTTACAGGGGCTCCGGCTCGAAGTGCAGGAGTAGAAACGGGATGGTTTTTAGTCAGTAAGAGTCTGACACTCCCTCCCGCCACACCCAGGCGGGAGAATTCATTCGATGATTTTCCCCCCTTAAAAAAACCCTCTCCAATCTCCCCAATCCCGAATCTCCAACAATCACACACTTATGACACATCCGATGTTTCGGGCGTCCATGGGCGACGCCGATTACTTACCATCGGGTGATCTGCCTGATCGCTTTGGTAAAGGAGCAGACATTATATCAATGAGACTGTAAAAAACATATTTAAAAAAAAAGTAATGATAGAGTTTCTTGCTCATTCTTATACATTGTAATCTACACTTTGCAACGAGCGCCTGGCTTCACAGACAGACAGACGGACGAGCAATACAATTTTTGACGTTTCAAAAGCGCCTAATTAAGGATTAATTGAAATAAATGCTTTGACTTTGACTTCGTTTACCAGCTTATCTTATAAAAAATCTAATACTTAGTAAACACAGTTGACCTCATCCGTCTTTCTACATGCACATCGAGTACTGATAGGGATTTACTCGATATATAATTCCTGTGCAAACCACTCAGGCAGCTTCAAAACGATTGGTGCTCGACGAAGCATACAAATGACCTGTTACTACATTCTACCTCTATACTATATTCTGAGTTTTATTTCCCTCGTTAATATAGAATTTCCCAGAAGACGTTCAGAGTTATGCGTTAGCTTTTCAATTATATTTATTGTTGCGTCTTGCTCTTTTTGTAGAAGGTAAGTAATGTTGTTAATTGTGTTTTTTTGTTCATTACTATGTTAATATGTTGAGTGTATTTATTTTTAGTTACCATATATAAGTATAGCATATTTAGAATTTTATTTTATGAATGAAGTAATCCCCATTCGTGAAACAAAATAGGAGTGCTTAAATTTTAAGTTCGTTGAAAAATCTCTTCGTTTACAAAGTCAGATATTTCGCCAGAATACCTACCTCAATCCCAATTCTAAGAATTCTTGCCGTAAATAGGAACACATTTTATTTCAAGAACCGCAGAGATTTACTTTGCAACTTTGCCTGAAGCAGAAATCTAGAGCCAAAGTTGGTGAAACTTTTTAAATTTCCTATCGATTGACAGGTTCACAATCGTTTAAATAAATAGTTAGTTACTTATTGTTAAAAGCACTATCTTGGACCAGGTTCCCAGATGGCAAAGTTTAATTACGAAGCTGTCGGTTCCATTGGCATTAATTGGCCAGCGAGGGAGCTCCCAAGTCGGTAACTTAGTATCGCCGATCAAAACTTACGACGTCCGAACTTACCCTTTGTCTCAGTTGGGTAAACAACAGCGGTGGGTATACATTAACTTGTTAGTTGAACTTCACGTACAAAAATTTAACATCATTATTAAGGTACTTAAACGTAATTCAGAATTCGTCTGTTATTCAGAATTCACAATATAATACAGCCATTTTGTTATTTTAGCGTCTAACGATGTTATATATATATATTATCCAGTCCCATTATATTAACAAAAATATGATTTTATTTCTTAAAAATATTATCAATCCTATGAGTCGCTAAATCAGTGTCAAGACCCGACGAAAAACTTGAATAAAATGTCTTCAAAAAGAAAAAAAATATTCATATCACAGCGAGTGAATAAATGTGAAAGACATTAATTATATTCCACGAGGGTGCCATTTTTAGTCTTCTTTAAAGAAAATTGTTATCATATTCGAAGAGATTTTGGAGTCAAATTAAGCTGAAGTTGCACTGGAGGTAGATCTTAAAATCCCTAACAATTATTTAACTTTAACTCGTGTATTACTATTTATTTGTACTGTTACTTATTTATTTATACTGTTTTTTTTTTATTAAGTTTTGTAATTAGTATAATGCGTCAAGCGTGTCTTTGAATTGTTCTCACATATACGTACAGTATTGG